TTGTCTGCTAGATCCACTGCCTTTCTTCACAGGGCTGACTCTGATTGATAGATGTTAAATCTCACTCGCAAGGGAGTTCAGCTTTCCAGTCTTGCAGGACAGGAAGGACTTTCAGGAGAAAACTTCAACAGATATTGAGAGAACTCATCTAGTTTATGCATCCACAGAAAGCTACAGCAATGCAGTTTATTAATCATAGTGTTTTGGAGCCGGCCTTGTGGCATAATGGGTTAAACCCCTGCCTGCCAACACCAGCATCCTGTATGCTGGTTTGAGTCCTGTCAGCTCCACTTCTGATCCAGCTGCCTACTGATGTGCCTGGGAAAGCAGCAGCAGAAGCTCAAGTGCCAGGGCTCCTGCCACTCACATAGGAGACCCAGAGGAAGCTCCTGGCTCCTGGCCTTGTCCTGGCCCAGCCCTGGCTGCTGTGGCCATTTGGGGAATGAACCAACAGGTAGAAGATCTCTCTCTCTCTCTCTCTCTCTCTCTTTCCTTTCCCTTTGTAATTTTGCCCTTCAAATAAATAAAAAATCTTTTTTCAAAAAAATTTTTAAAAAATCATAATGGCTTGAATTTACAAGAGAAGTAGGCAAGATAGATGGAGATAGATTCATGAGTTACTTAGGAGAAGTCACAGGGCATGGCAATTGATTCTCAGTCAGTAGAAGTAGAAAGGAGAGACAGGAGAGGAAGAAATTGGAATGACTGTCAAATTTCTAACTAGGATAATTAAGTAGTTCTTGGTGCTAAATGAGAGAGGAAGAAAAGTTATTTGGGGAATGGCAATGAATTCCCCCTGGACATAATGATTTTAGACAACTGTAGGACTTCGCAGTGTACCAACTTACAGGTCTTATATTTTGTAGATTTTTTCCTATTTATAACATGTAGGCTAATTTTTGCATATAGCTTATAATTTTTCATATAAATAAATATGTCTGAAAATTCAGTTTGCTGTAGTGTCAAATATAAATGAGTCTAACAGTATACAATGGTTAACTATAAGTTTTATTTTTACATTTAAATAAGTTGAGGGCTTACCATTACTTCTTTAATATCATTGTGAAATAGTGTTTGGGGGGTTATTTCCCTTGAAAGACAAATTTTTCTGTTTCCTAAATTCTTTCTTCTTTCAGAATATCTGCTTGTTAAATTCATTTCTGAAAAAAACTTGGCTAGGTATAATATTCTTAGACTATCCTTTCTAATTTATTTATTTGGCCAGGAATGATGTTTTTCTCCTCTTTTTGTTTCATTAGCTCTGTAATCTCCCTTTTCATCTTATTCTACTGTTTATCATTTGTCTCTGAGCTCTTGTTTTTTTTTTAATATTCTTGCACTTTGATTATTTGTGGTACATTTCCTTTTCCTTCAGTCATATTTGCTTTCAAGTGGAGTTCTGCCTGTGCCTGTTCCTCATTTATGTGTTCCTTTCCTTGCTTCTTCTTGCTATGGTATGTGCTGGGTCACCATTTTATGTCCTATCTAACTGCTTGTGTTTAAAAGTGGGTCCTTCTCTGCAGACAGTCTTTGCTGAAATATAGTACGCGTGAACTCTCCTTGACTCCTTGCTGTGGTCTCTCTTGTTCCTCCCAGGCCAAGCTGGAGAGCTAGAGCATCATAATTCTGTCTAGTGTTCTGTAATCGGAAGGGAAAACATCTCTGAAGTTGAGTTCAACTCTTATCTGACCACATAGTTTCTGCTGTCTTTCCTGAGATCCTGTTAAACTGTCATAGCTTAGTTTCACATAGTTGAAGGCATATACTAGGAGGTGGGGTGGGAGAAGGAATATTTTCACCTTTGCATTTTGGTTCCTGGGAAAATTTAAAGTCTTGGTAACTTTGCTTTTTGTTTGAACGTTTTTGTTTTGTTTGCCTTTGCTAAAATCTGATGCTCTGGTAGTGAGACCACAGAACCTTCTTATCCTCAACATTTTTCCCCCTCTACCTGGCTCCATACCCTCTCAGTCCACTTTTCTGTAATTAGGAAGTGTCTGTCAGTATGCTCTGAATTTTTTCCCTTAATTTCTTTCTCCATAGTGGTTTCTGGGGTTGGACTAGGATCTTTGCTTAGCTAGACCACATAGTACAGAGTTTTTTGTTCCTTTGAAAAAATTATGGTAATAAAGGTATGCCCTCTCTTTTTTTGTTAGTTGTTGCTGCTGATTTTTTTAACCCCTTAAAAATACTAGTTTTGTATGAAGTCCTGGGAGAAGATTCTATGTCACCTGTCTCATCATAGAAATACCTCTTCCAAGAAGTCCTGTCTAAGCAGATTTCAATCTTGTATTTTCTAAAGGTGTGTGGATGTTTGCATTATGGAAGCTCTGAGTAGGTTTTTGGTGCGGAGGTTAAGGTACCACTTGGAATGCCCAGATACCAGTGCACCTAGGTTTGAGCCCTGGCTCTACTTCTGATTCCTTCTTCCTGCTAATGCATACCCTGGGATGCAGTAGTAAGGAGTCAACAGCTTCGGTTCCTGCCACCCATGTGAGAGGTCTTGGTTGAGTACCAGATCCTAAGTTTCAGCCTGGCCCAGATCCTGCTGTTGCAGGCATTTATGGAGTGAACCAGTAGATGGAAAATCGATCTCTCTCTCCCCCCCCTTCCCTCCCTCCATTCCTCCCTCCCCTCTCTGCATTTCAAATAAGTTAAAATAAATACATAAGGTCTGCGCTGCGGCTCACTAGGCTAATCCTCTGCCTGCAGCGCTGGCACACCGGGTTCTAGTCCCAGTTGGGGTGCCGGGTTCTGTCCTGGTTGCTCCTCTTCCAGTCTAGCTCTCTGCTGTAGCCCGGGAAGGCAGTGGAGGATGGCCCAAGTGCTTGGGCCCTGCACCCGCATGGGAGACCAGGAGGAAGCACCTGGCTCCTGGCTTTGGATCAGCGCAGCGCGCCGGCCATAGCAGCCATTTGGGGGGTGAACCAACGGAAGGAAGACCTTTCTCTCTGTCTCTCTCTCTCACTGTCTAACTCTGCCTGTCAAGAAAAAAAAAAACATAAAACATTTCAAATGTAAGCTCAGGAGCAGCAGCAATAAAATGTTAATATTTTTATTTGTATATGAACTTAGATTTTAAAAATGTTTATTCATCTGGTACTTAATTTTTATGAAGGCATGAAAGACAGGACCTGTTATCTTAATTTTACTAATCAGGGAAGAGAGAGCCAAAAGGATTGAGTGTGTTGCCAAGTCACATAGCTAATTGTAATACAGAGTCAACACTCTGAAGTCAGAAGCAGTGCTATTTTTACCATACCCTGTTACTCCACTTAATGGAAACGATTACCTCCATCTCCAAGCACAGATGGCTTATTATGTCTTGAATGTTCCTACAAACCTTATTTTGACATTGATTTGACTGAGTGAAAGCCAAAAGTGGGCTGGGGGGTTAGAGAATGATCTTATGTGACTATTGTATTCCGATCCTTAATTAACCTCAGTGTGTCTTAGTTCTAATAAAACTCGTATTTAAGTCTCTTCAGTGTTTTCTCTGTCTCTGGTGTGTAGAAAACTGCCTCCCTTCCTCATTAAAATCAGTCCGAGAACCTCCAAGGCTGGCGGTGAAGACAAAGATGATTCACTTCAGAAACTTGATCTTTTGGGCCCTATTCTCATCTCTATAATTTATTTTCTTCTTTTTTTTTAAAAAAAAGATTTATTTATTTATTTATTTGAAAGACAGAGTGGCACACATAAAGAGGGAAAGAGAGAGAGAGAGTTGCAGATATCTTCCATCCTCTGGTTCACCCCCCAGATGGCTGCAAATGCCAGGGCTGGGCCAGGCTAAGCCAGGAGCCTGGAACTTCATCTGGGTCTCCCACATGGAGTAGCAAGGGCCCAAGCTCTTAAGCCACCATCCACTGTTTTCCAGGTGTATTAGCAGGTAACTGGATCAGAAGTGGAGGAGCTGGGACTGAAACCAGCCCTCTGATATGGTATGTCAGTGTTGTAGGCTGCAGCTTAAACTGTTGCTCCTCAACACCAGCTCTTCACTTTCCTCTTGGTATCTTTTACTCTTTCTTCCTGCCTTGGTGGCAGAACATGTAGTTCCTATTTGTCCTCCCTTTCTCCTGAGGATATATCCTTGGCTCTTTTTTTTTGCTTTTTAAGATGCATTTATTTGAAAAGCAGAGTTACAGAGAGAGAAAGCGGGAAAGACAGAGAGAGGCAGATTTTCCATTTGCTGGTTCACTCCCCAAATGGCTGCAGTGGCTGGAACTGGGCCTATCTGAAACCAGGAGCCAGGAGCTTCTTTCAGGTCTCTCACGTGGGTGCAGGGGCCCAAGGACTTGGGTCATCTTCCACTGCTTTACCAGGCACATTAGCAGGGAGCTGGGTTGAAAGTGGAGCAAGTGGGACTCAAACCAGCACCTCATAGAAGCGCTAGTGCCACAGGTGGCAGCTTTAACCACTAGGCCACAGCACTGATCCATATCCTTGACTCTTCCATTATAAATTTCTTGTTTTACAGCTGGGACTAGTTTAGAACGTTCAAACGGTGCTTCACAGAAAGAGTGAGATGCGGTTATTGGCCAACATAGACTGACTTGCTTTTGTTTATAAGTCGCGGATGTTCCAGGCCAATGTGTGCTTAGATATCTGCCCTTCTTGATGGCACCCAAGGAAGCCCATTCTGCAGGCAGATCAGACGTCTCTATCTTTGTAGAGTCTACTTGTCTAGTTCCCACTTCCCTTTCTAAGCCTATGACTATGTAATGATTAGCAGCAGCCGTGGAGACTATCTTCGCAGAAACACTTCTGCTGCCCACGAGGATGTAGCTTTACTGTGGCCTCAACAGGGCAGCTCTGTCAGATCCCAGAATCCACAGCGGTTATCCAATACATACTTACAGCGATGGAAAGGGTAACGTTAGATAGAGTAAGGTGTTCGAAGGATGTTGAGAAGAGCAGTGCGGTTTCCCTGTGGTTTGGAAGGAAGAGGTCCTTTGCTCCTGTGCTTCTGGTCTAAGTTGACTCTGTTGTTTTTATCCTTCTAGGTATCATGAACTGATCACAAAATATGGGAAGCTGGAGCCTTTGGCAGAAGTGGACCTAAGACCCCAGAGCAGTGCGAAAGTAGAAGTCCACTTTAATGATCAGGTGGAAGAGATGAGCATTCGCCTGGACCAGACAGTTGCAGAACTCAAGAAACAATTAAAAACTCTAGTGCAATTGCCGACGAGCAACATGCTTCTCTACTATTTTGACCACGAAGCGCCCTTTGGCCCAGAGGAAATGAAGTACAGTTCCCGGGCCTTGCATTCCTTCGGCATTAGGGATGGAGATAAGATTTATGTGGAATCCAAAACAAAGTAACCTCTACCGGCCTTGTAAAAACCCACACATGAGGACTTATGCAGGGCATTTGTTTCCAATATGGTTTTCTTTAGAAGACTGCTTTTGTTTGGTTTGATTTTGTTTAGGTTTGGGAGGGGTTTTGTATGTTTCTCCCCCACCGAGAACGGGAAGGGGGCCGTTTTGGGTATTTTCTACCACAGATTTCTTCTGCTCAGCCAGCAGAATTGGCCGCTTCTCCAGTCCGCGGGCCCTCTCTCGTGAAAGATGACCAAGAAGTCGCCGACTTGTTACTATGTTCTCCGGGGCGTGCCTGCCTGGTTCAGAGGACCAGGAGTGTGCTGGTGAAGGCGGCGTGCACTGCGGCCGCCCCTCAGACGGGGATCTTGGGGTCTTTCCACCAGGAAGCAGGAGCCTGCGCAGGGAGGGCCCGCACTTCTCTCTCCTGCTTCTTCCTTTTCCCTGCTCTGCCACCTTTTTCCTGTTTGGGTTCAGTTTTGTACTTTGAATTCCGCCACCACGTGTTTACCTGATAGTTCCATTCTGCTCATCATTACCTTCTTATTTCTCAACTTGGTGATTGCCCCTGCCCTGCCGTCTCATTTCTCCCTTTTAAAATAATTTTAAATGTTTTAAACATTTTCAGCCTGATTCTGATCTCAGGTACTCAGTAAGAACCTGTAGCCCTGTTGAGATGTTGAAGAAGAGTAAATGGAGAGGTAAACTCTGGGAGAACTCGCTGTTGTTCTGGGAGCCCAGGCAGAGTGTTCTGGTCTCTGTGTTTGTCACTATCTCACTTTTTATGTTCCTCATATATGAGATCAGCCATTGCTTTGAGAACATGAAACATGGCCGGTTCCAGAGTTCTTTGACTTTTGCTTGTTGAATGTATTTCCTTGTATCTCTGATTACTTTAAACTACTGGGACTAGAGGCCTGACTTCGTGAAGAAGCCGAGAGAGTAGAATATATACAGCCAGGGGAGTTGAGACTCAGCTAATAAACCATCCTTGGTGTGTGTGAGGAAGTGGAGTGGGGGGATGTGAGAGACCGAACTTTACGACTTCCTGGCCTGTGTCATCCATTTGAAGCCCTGCTTTTGCACTTAGGGTTAAAGGTGGGAAATTTTAATCAAAGGGAGCTTTGATTCCCAGTTCTTTCTTGGGACTTTGTGATGTCATAAATGAGCACTTTTCTCTGTTTTACGTTTCAATTTAGTTTAGAGAAGAACAGCTCTGCCTAATCTACAAGTAAAGATGTAAGTGTCAAAACTTCAGAATTGCCTCCAAGTCCTATTTTTTTTGCAAAAGCAAATTTCAAGCACTTTCCCTTTTAAAAGCCAGTCCCTCACCTGCTCTGACATCTTTTTGTTTGTTGTTCTGTTCCTTCACTAATCAGATGGAACCCCTTTCTTCAGTGTCATTCTTTCTGTGTCCACCATGTCTGTCAGTGGGAGTCATGAGAAAGACGTGGCAGAACCAGAGCAGGAGGTGTGCGGGCTGAGTGATTTTCTGGTTGCATTTGACCTTTGTTACGTGGTTCCAGCCCTCCTACAAATTTAGTTTCTTCTGAAATCTCTGGATGGCTCTCGTAAATTATTCACATGTAGGCAGTTGTGCTTATTATTGCTATGTTTTTATTTTCCTATTCCCTGTGGCAGACGTTCCTTCTGTTAATGCACTTCAGGTTCAGTATCTGTAAAAATTTGGCCCAGGCCACTGAGTCAAATCTACATTCATTGTAACATTAAAGACGGAAACCAAAGGGTCTGAGAAAGATGATGCATGAGGCCTGATCTCCTCCTACAGACTTTTCTTTCAAAATCATAAATGAGCAATGGAGAGCCAGGCTGGGTTTAGACAAGAGAAGTTATTTTGTAATCACGTTTTTTTTTGGCAGATGTTTGGAAGTGGGGAAATAGTGCAGCAACAGTGTTGTGAAGATGAAAACTGTGGGTGCTTTGTGTGTGTGCACACGAGTGCAGAGGAGTTTGAGAGAGGAATGGTGTAACTGAGCCCGTTGCTTTTGTCAACCTGGGAAACAGATGCTCTCTTATTTTTTGAAGTCGTATGACCCCTGGCTGTCCCACAGCAGAAGGCAGAATGAACACTTGTGTTATCAAAGGTGGAATGGTCACAATTAATAAGATATTTTCTATATGACAAAGTTTTATGAAATGCTTTTTTACTATTAGAGACCTGTTTCTTCTGTTCTTACAGAACGCAGTGAATATCAACTGCAACATAATTCCTTTTATTATACAGTTGCATGTGAAGGGAACTTCTCATTTCATTCAGCAGACATGGGTATTTTTAGGGTGTTGTAATTGATAGTTTTAATAATTGCTGAATAATTTTTGATTAAGAAAAAAATCTAATACAATTACTGGTCTTTTAGAGTAAATGAACAGAGGTAAATGAGAAAAGCTATTTGAGCATGTGTACTTATAGATTCATTTGGGTGGCTGAGTAAAGACGCTGCGCTTGGAATAAAATTGGTGCTGTGTAGACACTTGTAACCAAAATTATTTTTATAACAGGCCCAGAAGAAGGAGAGAAGAGACCAAGGACCTCTGAGTCCACAAGTTATTCATATTTGATTGTCTATAGCTTATCTGTATTTTAATATTGACTCTGTCCAGTTTAGTGAGAGCATATATTAACATTTGTGAGGCAAAATGCTGTCATCACCAGTATTACAGATTGTGTTGCTACAGGCACAGTGTATAGAACATATGTTTTCTAAAATAGGATTTTTTTCAGTTATAAAAAAGGAAAGAAGTAATAAAAGCCAAATCAAAACCAAGGGACCCTTTCTACATCGCTACTGAAGCCACAGTAGAAATCAGCTTTTGAATTTTCATTGTTGAAATAACTTAGATTGCTTTAAAGGAAAAAAAAAAAAGTCCAGAGTCCTCTGTCTTTATTATTAGAAGTTTATGTTGTTACTGCAACTCCTCATCACCATTGCCATGATATACAAGAAAGCAGCAGATATGATAAGCCCTTTGTTTTAAAAGACCATTTGGTGACGAGCCCAAAATATAAGCATAGCTTCGTATAACAGGACAGAAAGCTATGATGCAATGATTTACAAAAGTTCTGTTTCCCTAAGAAGAAAGAAAAAGAAGGAAGGAATGAAGAAGGGAGGGAGGGAGGGAGGGAGGGAAAAAATGAAATTCATTTCTAACTCAGTATTTCAGCTGTGTTGGCGAACCTGCGGTGTTAGGAGCAGAGAACCCTTGTGGCACAGAGAGCCGCTCAGCGTTTGAGGCCCACGGCTGGCATCTCACTAACGCACACGGGAGTGTGGCCTGCCGTGTGGGAGATGCCAGGCTCCGGGCATTAAAACACGAATACAGGACACTAGACTGTTCTCAGCAATGTCATTTCTGTTTATGAATTTGACTTTTCCCCTCAATACATGTTAGAGTGAAAATGCAAACTGCTTTCAAGCACATCCTGAAGCTATCTGTGTTACCAGATGTGTTGTGAACACTCTACTGTTTTCCATAGGTGCTTCCTTAAAATCTATGTCCATGTGTAGTGATGGAGAGGGACTGGACTCTCTCAGGCTCTTTACTTGCCGGTTGTCTCCTGCAGTTAATGGAAATATATATTTTGTTTTAGAATATAATTTAAACATGAAGGTCTATTCTTTGCACTTTTATTAATATATATATATAGAGAGATAATCTTTAAAAAATTAAAAATCCAAGTCCATTTCCTTTTGTGTTCTGATTTTTTTTCCTGCAGTGTGGAGTTTGTTTTCATATAGGTAAAAACAGACACAGGTTCTTTTGGCCTACCTTAGGGAGATTCTGACCATTCTAACAAACAATTGGAATTTTGCGAAAGTCAGAACAAAGATTGATAGGAACTATAATAGTAGTTGTTTTGTTAGCAAAGTTTTATACTTTTATTCTTTAATTTATTCATTTGAGAGGTAGAGATACAGACAGTGAGAGGAGAGACAGAGAGAAACGTCTTCCTTCTGTTGGTTCACCCGCAAAATGGCCACAACTGCCAGAGCTGTGCTCATCCGAAGCCAGGAGCCAGGTGCTTCTTCCGGGTCTCTCATGCAGGTGTAGGGGCCCAAGGACTTGGGCCATCCTCCACTGCTTTCCCAGGCCACAGCAGAGAGCTGGGTTGGAAGGGGAGTAGCTGGGACTAGAACCGGCGCCCATATGGGATGCCAGTGCCACAGGAAGAGGATTAACCTACTGTGCCATGGCACCAGCCCCTATACTTTTATTCTTTAAGAATGAAACCTCTCTTTTAAGATATTTGACATCAGTTTATTTTAAGAAAGATCAAAAACCTCATTTTGATGAAATAAAAATTGCCAATTCTTATTCAAGGACTACTATTTTCCTTTCAAAAATAATTTTTTAATATTTGTTTATTTGAAAGAAGTTAGAGAGAGGGAGAGAGAGAGAGAGATCTTCTGTCCTCTGCTTCACTCCCCAAATGGCTACAATGCTCAGGGCTAGGGCAGACCAAAGCCAGAAGCCAGGAGGTTCATCCAGGTCTCTCATGTGGGTGCAGGGACCCAAGGACTTGGGTCATCTTCCGCTACTTTCTCAGGCCACAGGAGAGAGCTGGGTAGGAAGTGGAGCAGCCAGGACTGAAGCCAGCACCCATGTGGCCTACTGGCCCTGCAGACATACGTATCATGATTTGTTTAAAATTGAGATTATTTATATTCAGATTTCAAAGAATTGTCATTTTAACTTCTTTTCTATATTCCTCTAAATGATCATTTACTTTTGTTGAGTTTTTCTGAGCACGTGCAAGATAAGAGCTATCAAGACAACCAGCGCTGACTAATCGAGACAACCAGCGCTGACTATACTGAGCGACGCTGTGACTCTCAGGCTCTCAGAGTGCCTGCAAAACCAGACGGCGGACCTTTGCAGTCCCATTTCTTTTCCCTACTCTTCTCTGGAAAGGAAGTTCCATTTGGTCTTCCCAACAACCCTAAGGCTTCGGCACAGTTATCTCTGTTTTTCTTACTGGGGAGGAAACGGACAAGTAGGAGAAGTAGCTTGATAAGAATCAAACAGTTGGAAAATGCCGAGGCAGGGATGCAAGCCCGAGCGACTCGGCTGCACAGTCCATGCGCTGACAAGTGCGCTGTAGTGCTTGCTACTAAGGCTGCTCCCATAGCTGCCCTCAAACACAGACCTTTACTGTTGGTTTGAACTTGGCACTGAAACACTGAAATGAGACGTTCCTCACTATCCGCTTCCTGGATTCGTTCACTCCGCAGCAGAATCACTGGTGAGGCTGAAAGCTCCAATTTCAACTAGAACTGTGCCTTGCGCCATTTCCAAAACCCTGAAGTTGCTGTGGGGATGTATCTGCTGTCCTCCCTGCTCCTCTGAAATGCCATTTTGTGCTCTCGTGGCAGGTGTACCGACAAGAGTAAGTGTGCCAGTAATAGGATGCAGGGAGACTGTGTACTTGGCTTTTAACCTAGGACTTTCTAAAATTGTAAAGTATGATTTCAGCAAACAGCCAAAGGCAAGAGAGGTCACTGAGCTCCTCCTCAGACTCCCCTCAAGGAGGCACAGAGCACTTAAAAGTGGAGCTGGTAAAGGCAGAGGAGCATTCGCAGCGCGGTGGAGACTTTATCAAAGGTTTTGTGATGGGGAAGGATGAGCCTGTCATTCCTGTTGTTCCTCCTTAAGATTCAAGGGGATGCCTGGTGAGGAATATAAATATTGCTTACCAAATAGAGGAGACAGGTTATCTATTATGGTCCGCACGATCCAGTCCTGCTAAAAAAAAATTACAATGCAATTTCAGTTTGTCAAGTCTTACACAGACTTATCACCCTTGAATGCCTCTTAGTGGCTCTAAGCAATACAATTAAGGTGTTAAATAAAGAATAGGAATAGGGAAGGCAGACGTGGAGAATACATAGTAAAAGAGAAAAATAGGTTCTGAAACACAAGACACCTCTGTGGGCAGATGGAAGCTTCACTCCATTGTTAGGGAACATAACTAGGATGATATAAACTATCTTGGTTATGTTAAAATTTCATTTTCTGTAAAGTCAATTGCTTAAAAAGTCTTAAAAACATTTAAATTTAATTTTAAATAGATAACAGCTTGGTTCAAAAATCAAACAGTACAATGAAGAAGATATACATCAAAAAGACCCATTCTAATCTTATTAGTTTATTGTGTTCTTCCAAAATTTGCACAAATAACAAAAATATATAGAGTCTAATTATTCCCTCTTATACAGCAAAAGTTACATATCACACATTACCATGCCCTTGCTTTTTTTGCGCTTCAACTGCTTCTTGTAGTGCTCTATAAACATAGGGGATTACTGTACCTTTGTTTATAAGTATTGATTTTATAGGTGCACTATAATTTACCTAGACAGTACTCTATTAACTGACATTTGAGATGTTCTCTTCTTCTCAGTCTCTTTATTTTTTACTATTTTCAGTTTGCTGTAGTAAACAGCATATGTTCTTTTACATTTTAGAATTACATCTGTAGAATACATTCCCAGAAGTGAGACTGCTACATCAAAAGGTCAAAGTGTGTGTAATTTTGGTAGGTATTGCCAAATTGTTCTCCACTGGGGTTATACAAAACGAGCATTTTTTTTCCTGTTTATTATTTGTCACAACCCTGCAAAGTCAAAGAAGACTTTACTGATCTTGGGCTTAGATGTGCTTCCTGGCTATTGAAACCCAGATAACATTCTTTCCAATTAAGCATGCAAATCTAGGCATGTGAATTCAACGCGTTATAGATAGGGTGAGGCACCTGTATCATTTGTCTTGTGAGCCATTTTGCCTCTGGAACCTGTAATTTTTAATCATCGGTGAGATTTCCCCTCTCCAGCACAAGGTTTTTGAGAATTATTTATCCTTAACAGTGTGTGAACACTTGTTTCAGCTGAGCGCCCTTGGAAAGTGATGGATTAATTGCCCCGAAATCTCTGCTTATTGTCTAGAGTAAGCTTTAATCAGAGCTCATTCTTGCCTACCAGTGAAATTTCTTCTACGTGAACTATGAACTATGACATTTCTTCTGCATGGATGGAACTATATGCCGCTCTGTGGTGGACAGGGAATGTAGTGTGTCAGCCTTCATCCCTGATCCCCCTCAACTTGATTGCTCATGTGCTAGCAAGGGATATTAGAATAAGGCCAAATATCGGGTTTTGGTTGTCATTCTACTTAGAATTAGCTGTTGCAAACTCCTTGGCTGGAGATACTTCAGAAAATATCTTTGAGTCCTTGTTTAAATTTCAGAGATGAACAGCTTTTATTATTGAGCTCTTAAAGCTAGAAAATACTGCTGGTTGGTTAATAAATAATAATAAATGTCATTCAACGTGGTTTTCAAAGAGCCAATGTCATATTCCTTATAATTAAACCATATTTATTAGCAGCAGCTCAAACCAAGAGTCTAGAATGAATAGGGCCAGCAAAAAAATATAACTTACAGGCAAATAATATTAATTCTTTAAAAGCATG